CATCAAGCAGCCTTATAATCAGCGTTTTGAATTCTGCATCTGATAGATTGCTTGTCTCCATTTTCTTCAGTTCCTTTTCAAGAGCATTGTTCAATTCTTTCATTTGGGACATGTTTCTTTGTCTTTTCGTGTATCTATGTATTAGGTAGAGCTGCTATGCCTCTCACTCTTAGTAGAGTGGTCTTATGTAGTAGGTGTCTGTGGGACCCAGTGGCACAGTCTCCCTGGTCACCTGAGCTGGGTTCTCCAGGTGTGTCCCTTGTGTGGTTTGTGTATGCCCTCCTGCTGTAGTTGAACCTTGGTTGCTGTTTGCACATCAGTGGGAGGGATTGACCCTCAAGCTGATTGGTTGTGAGGACTGGCTGTGACTACAGTGGAAGAGCTGTGTGTAAGGCCTGACCCTGTGCAGCAGGATTTGCTTTAGCAGGCCTCTGGTGCCTGCTCAGTCTACCCTTTGGGTATGTCTTTTGTAGGGGTGGTTGGGTGGTGCTGTTGTGGTCTGAAGGTGGCCACCAGGTGTGTTGGTTCTGGGGCCTTTGGGGAGGGCTCTATTGCAGGCCACGGTCAGCCATTGCCTATCCCCTGCCAGAGCCACTTGGTATAAGCTAAAAAGTGATCAGCAGATGGTTCCACCTGGTGCTTGGGAGAGGGTAAGCAGTGAACCAAGGCTGGCTGCCGCTAGTGCCAGGCTTGGGTCTGCTTTGCTAGAGGTACAGGGCAAGCCAAGGCCAGATACTGCTTGCTGGGAATTTGTGAACCATTGAGAGATTTTAGGAAAGTGCACAGCATGAGCCAAGATACATTGTTTGTATGGGAAAGCTACTGCAAGTGATTGGGGTGGACTCAATTGTTGGATAGGATGCAGTTCCATGGAATCACCTGGGCAAGGCAACCTGTGTTAGCCAGATTGATGGAGACTCAGATGTGATGGCCTCCTACATCTGCATGCTGAGAGGTAGGAGGGCTCAATACAGGAACAATGGCTTCTGCCAGCACTTCTGTCTAAGAGAAAGCTGCCCCTCCAGCCCTTACCCTGAAGCCAGACAATTCATTTCCTCCCCATATGTCCCTCATGCTTTTTGAGCAGCTGACCCATATCTGGAGCTAAGAGCAAATGGTACGTCAGTGAGTAAGTTCACACATTTGAGGAATGTCTCCGGCTCCCACAACCCTCTGTCTTGCTCAGCCACAAGCTCCACCGGTTTTCACAGCCAGAGGTTGTCCCCCCTTTTCCAGGGGGACCTCTGCAGCCAAGATATCCCTCCTGATTCTCAACCATCACATGCAATTGTGAGACCAGCCCATTTAGCATCTCTATTCCTCCTACCAGTATCGAGGTCACCTCTTATGTATGTCCCCAATCATAGGACTTTCTTTCAGCCAGAACTCAGGCGACTCCCAATAATGGTTTTTCTGTAGTATAATTGTAATACTGATATGGTAGGGAGAGGAGTGAGCACAGCATCTACCTACTGTGCCATCTTGACCTGTCAGGTCCTTGGTTTTAAGCAATAACTTGGACACAGAAGACATGCAGCTATTCCCAGGGAGGCTATGAATTTATAGACTTTTAAGAAGAGACCTCTCATGTAAAACTGAATTAACTTCATGGTTTATTGGGGCAGACACAAAGAAATTTATTTTAACAAGGTGCATAGACAGAGCAAGACCCTGCACACCATGTTTCAGGTCAGTTGTTCGTTTATTTGTTTGTTTATTTGTTTGTTAGTCCCAGAACCCATTATAGATCCTGTTGCCACTTACATTGTCTGTGCAACGTAGTGTACTATTATATCTAAAAAGCTAAATTTCATTGTTCACCACATCTCTTTTAATATTCAGAGCTTATATCCTCAGCCAGGAAAAATTTACACAAATAGGAAACATTGACAGACCTCCAGACCCCTTCTTGATTTTTAAATAAAGTAGAGGGTCAGTTAAGTCTCTGTCATAATAGGGCAGGTGAGCAGTCAGCTGTTTCTAAGCATCATCTCTACTCTCCTCTTGTTGCATCCTGAAGAGGTGCACCTTTGCCATATTGCCTCTAGACATCTATGAGAGGGAGGTGCAAAGGAGCCAGGGTTTCTGTTCTTAGAGGATAAGATCTTTCTGTAACTAAGAAATTTAATTGTCTGCTGCTGCACAGTCCTTTGCCCTGGAGCTTAAATCATTTTTAAAGAACTTACACAAATAATCTATGCCCCTAATGTCTTTTTTTAAAGGATTATTTACAGATAGTGAGGTTCTCATGATTGTTGAACCAAACTCAGCATCAGTAAAATGACATCCTTATCCAGGGAAAAAGGCAGATTTAGCATTCAGGTATTTCTGATAGCTGTTCTGTCTGGTTATCCAGCATCCTAGAGTGTTCATTTTCCTCATGAGCATCTCACATTTACAGAGGACATGAAACTGGGAAACTCCTTTGAAATGCTAATGACAAAATCAAAATTTTTAAAAATATCAGAAACATATGAAATCTTGCCTTTAGCCCCCAAATAAGCATTTAAATAGAAAACAGAAAAGATCTGACTTAATATAAGCACATGTGATTTTTTTTAACTTGCTTTTTAAAGAACCGCAGGCTTAATAAGAGCCCAAAGAATGAGTCATCTATAAAAAAAAATATTAGTAATTGTCCTCATCAAAGGTGGTAATAATTGCTTTCTATATATTCTATACAGGTGAGCCATTGGCTGTGGCATTTGGGTTAATTCTGTATAAATCATTTCAAAGAGATATTAGCCAGCCATGGAACAGGATGATGAGAATGGTTAAGGGTCTCAAAACCTTGCCTGATAATAACGAGAATAATAATAGCAGCATTTATGTATTGAAGTCCTATTGTGTGCCATGCTCGGTGGTAGACATTGTACTTGAAATGATTGCGCAGTTGAACATCTTTAATCTAAAATGTCAAGGAGAAGCTACTTCCCCAGCAAAACTCTAAACTCTACAATGACAGGACTTTTATACATTTCAGATGGTAATGAAGATGTTAATAATGATAATGATAGTGGCTTCCCAGTGTTTGAGAAATAAATTATCAAGTACAGGGAGAAAAGATTATGTGGCTCCAGAATGAAAGCTAGATCAAATGGATTGAGCTTAGAGAGGCAAATTAAAGCTCAAATTAAAAAAAAAAAATTCTGACACTTATTGTTACTCAGAAATGGCACAAGAAGCCTTTAAAGAGGCCCATCTGCTGTTAAGCACTCGCTATGTACCAGCTACCGAGATTACCAGCCGGTAAAGTTGGTGTTATTATCTCCATTTTATACGTGAAAAAATTGGACACCAAGTAAAAAAACCTATCAAAGTTCACACAACTAAGAAGTGACAAATAAGGCTTTATTGACTTTAAATTACATTCATTTTCACCAAGTTATAATCATCCCTATCATTGAAAATAATCTTCCATGATCATTGGCTAAATATCTATCTCTTGAGAACATGTTTTAGGGGAATTCTTGATCGGGTGAGGATAAGTCCTTACCTCTTTAATCCTTCAAATGTTCAGTATCGATGAGTCTGCTTGTCAAGTAATAAACATTCATAAGAATGGATGTTTAATTACCTGCAATATAAAACCACAAAGTAATAGGAGTATTGATAGTATTCTTAAATGAATCAGAAGAGATCAGTTTGAGTTAAGGGAATGCTAAATGATCTAAGTGAGGGACACTTGCTAATTCATCCCGAGTTTCACTAGAAAAGCACTTAATTGGCCTCCTAATATAATAACTTCCAGGCCAGTCCATTTACTTGCTACCCTATTATATTCTAAAGCATTTATATAGCACTTTTACTGGTAAAGAGAAGGAGTTCAATACATGCCAGAATACACCTATGTGCCTTTATATCTGTTATGAACTGTAAACATGACTTGAGGAAAGCCAAGTATTTAGAAGCAGAGAAGGATGGACGTTTATTTGAAGTACTATGTTCTGGACACCTTCTAGAGATTATCCCACTCAGAGGAGGGTGGGAGGGTCACCAGAAATTCAAATATCATGTAACAAGCAGCCCATCTGCAGGGGATTATGAGGAAACCAGACCAAACCTGACAGAGGTTCGGGCTGGAGAGTAGTGGGAACTGTCATTGGATAGACAGGATGGAAAGAGCCTGGAGAGGGGCTTGTATTCTGAGCAGAACATTCAGACTCGCTGCCGTGGGCATCGCAAGCCACGCTGGATTCCTGAGTGGAAAACTGGAATAGGAAAAGTAGTTCAAGAATATAGGGAACATGTCCCTCTATGTTAGGAAGGAACTAGAAGCCACAGTGTAAGATTAGTGATTGTTTTTAGAAAGGAGTCTCCTCTGAGATAGACATAAAAGCTTATGGGAAAGATACTGGTAATAACAACGAATATTTACATAGCATTCACTGCTGTCAGGCAGTGTTCTCCATGCTTTAGGTATAGTTACTCATTTATCCTTGCCACAACCTATGGATAAATAGTAGTATGATCATCATCCCCATCTTCCAGATTAGAAAACTGAGACTTCTAAAAACAACTGGCCTAAGGTCAGGCAGAAAAGATGCCCAACATTCAGCATGTGCTCAACTGGCCTAAGGTCAGGCAGAAAAGATGCCCAACATTCAGCATGTGCTCTTCTCACAGCCTGTTCTAACGATCAATCACAGTGCACTTAAAATGATTGTTTGATGATAGCGCTATCTGATATTACCTAGCTGTTTCAGTCACAGCTCGAGCAGGTTGTTCTCTGAAGTGGCAGACACTACAGGGCTGAGATCATGTGCCTTGGCTGGTGAACATGGTTGACAGCCTGCCCTCCAGCGTTGATTACATGTGCCCTCCTTCACTAGAACCTGAGGGATGCAGATCAGACCTTTTCAAGTCTTAAAGTTATATTTATATTCTGATAAAAACAAAATTAAGTGTATAGGTTATATGTATAGCCGTTTTATTTATAAACATTGTAAAATACTTCCCACAGAGATGGCCTACCCTGTGTATATGTTTTTTCCCTGCAGGGGCTCAAGATCTGGATCGTATCCGACTCTCCACCTACAGAACAGCATGCAAGCTTAGGTTTGTTCAGAAGAAATGCAATCGTAAGTACGCCTGTTGTTTGGACTAATTACTCTCATGAACCCTATAGTTTACATTTGTTACTTAGTATACTAAAACTAGGTTTTCTTGCAATATTGATAAAACTATGTTTATACAATAAAAAAGTGTTATGATACATAAACAGTAAAGAGACTATTCCTAAGTAATCCTGAAGGTTTAATTACTCTAAACTGCTAATGTATTCCATCCTGCCATTGTAATGGCTCAAATCTGGATGGATGTGTATTTTCTTTTCTTTAGTCTCGATATTGTAAATGCCAAACCATCAAAATGGTTTCCAAGAACTTTTTAAAATACCAAACATTAAGTCTTCCTTATATTTGTATTTCCTTTACAAGTATAAGAAAATGTTCATAAGCTCCTGGAAAACAATCAAGTTTCTTTCTGAAACTAGAAAATTTACCCTTTGTATCAGCGTATTTATGTTATTTGCCAACATCAGACAATAGCAAGAGAAGAGACAACAATACTTATAGAAACAAGAAAACTTGTTTCAGCTTTTTCCCAAAATTTAAAATGTAGGCAGCAAACTGGATCACTAATCACAGTGAGCAGATCTACATTCCCTGCTGGTTCAGTGCTTCCATCATATCGCTCCATTCATTATCTCTTGGAAAAAAAATATTACTTTATTTTGAAAACTCTTCTCTTTTCTAATTAGTAGTGGATGAATAAAAAATGAAACCATCATGTTCTCCTGAGTACATACACATAGTTCTTGAATAACTGCCATGGGGACTAGGCACTTCGTGAAAGTGGAAACCAGCCATGTCCACATCTCTACCCTCCCAGGGTCTCCAGCAGATGTTTCTGGTGGAACTGTGCAGGCCACCCCCAGACCCAGGCTTCTAGGCTTTCAGCAAATCATGACTCTGGGATGGGCCATGTGCCTTTTTTCCTCACATTACTCATCTGCAGCTTATTCTCCAGCCTCAGTGGCTAGAAATGTGGCTGAAGTTTGGGGCAAGAGAATAATGGAGAAAAAAACATAGGTTGGTCAAACATCAAAGACATGTTTTGATTCCTCACAGGAAGCTAAACTAATGCCCCACCACCACCAACAACAACAACAACAACTACAACAAAAACCAGTGAGAAGAGCACTACAGATATGGAAAGGAATCAGTGGTTGTACTTGCAGGCCTGTGTATTGATGGGTTAATAAAAACTCTCGCTAGCACTAGTATTAAGGGACAAGGAAAATGGTCCCGAAGAAGAAAAGCTTTCCCTCGCCATTTAGCCCCATCCATATGTAAACCAAAGGAAGAATCTCTGTTTTCAGCAATGAAAAAGTAATGAGATCCTCCCATTTTCTTACCTCATTACCAGTGGCCCTCAAAATAGAGGGAGGGGAGAGTTAGGGGTAGGAGTTCTTTCTCTTTAAAGTATTGCCAAGCAGAGCCTTCCTTAGGCTACTTTTACTAAAAATAGGATATTTCAAAAAGACTACAAAAAGGAAAGGATGAATGAATAAACAAACAAATAAATAATGGGAAAAAAGGAGGGAGGGAGGATGGAAGGTAAAAAGAAAGAAAAATGACTCACAGTGAGACTAGTTTGTCAACCCTGTGCCAACATTACAAAGGGCACACACTATGTTGGCCCTAACTGACTCCAGCCACCCGCAGGCCATATTTCATTTCTCCTGCTCTCTGATAAAGGCCCTTTTCCTTCTTGGGCATCTATATCTATTTTTCCTTTTCCTATTCTTTTCTGGCACTCGTCCTTATCCTATATCCAGAATCGTGGCATAGCCACACTGTCCTTCTTAGGAAACAGTAAGGAAAACAGTTGCCATCATGGAAAACAGTAATAGTCCATTCCTAGGTGTAAGAAAACCTTCATATACCTGTCCTGTTGCCTTCAGTGCATCCATTCATTTACCTCTTCATTTAGTAATCTTATGATGAACTACTACATGTTTCACACTGTGCTAGGTGCCAGGGATAGAAAAATGGTGAATAGGATGCAATTCCTACTTTGAAGCTGCCCAAAGTCTAAGTGGGTAGATGGACTTTTAAACAGACTTATAAACCAGTTTGGAAGTGTGATGACAGGAATATGTACATGGTGTTATGAGAGCACCAAGGAGGCAGCTCCCTGACCTGGGCATGGGGGCCTCTGAGAGAAGAGAGACATCTGGGCTGAGTCTTAAAGAATTAGTAGACATTAAACAGAGAAGTATTATTTGCTTTACAAATTTCATACATTTTCGGGTGAGAAAAGATACTACATTCTTTGCAAACTAGACAAAACTAAGGCCCAAGGAAGAAAAACAAGAGTGTGTTGAATGCTCTGCTAAAATTGAGTTTCTTTTTCAAATTACTTCTACCTTGATCAGAAGTGTTAAAGGCAGGTACTATATGTGTTTGCTGAGTTTTCCTTTCTGACAATAAATACAAGAGTTGTGATGTCGAGATACTTGCAAAATGCTAACACAATTGAGACTGGCTTATTTTAATCAAAGTTAGAGCCTTCCTTTGAGGAATATGACCAGAAGCACTGGTGTTTATGTGACATAATATTCATCGATATTGAATATCTACCCCTGTTTTAGAGGAAGATAATTTTTGTTTGCAATATCCTAGCCCACGGTAAATTATGGTACCTTATAATGTAGTTTTACTCTACAATAAAAGAAATAAGAAAATAACCCAGGTAGTGTGTCTATAAGTGCATTGCCTTATTGGAAACTCTTCCATAGTATTCGTAAAAATCAATGGACCCTAACTGAGAACAGGTTGTTTATTTTTAGATTCAGACCTTACATATAGGTAAAATTTATTTTGTATTTTACCAGAACTAAACTTAAAAACTATGTAATGGAGGAAAAAAAACATAAAAACTGACACCTGTAAAGTCATTACCTAGAAAAAATATTGTTTGGATACAGCATGGAGCATTATAGATTTTTAGGAGATTTATTTTTTATCTAAATTTAATGATTAGAAATGTTATATTTCCCATATTTTCTTCCCCAAAGCTCTTGCTGACTCTGTTTATGGTTTCCCATATATGGCATTGATTCCTATCACTGACATGTTCATTTCCTGTAATGCATTTCCTGATGGATGCTGAGAATAACTGGTTCCCAGTGTTTTAAAAAGAGGCCAGAAAACTATGGCCCATGGACAAAATGGGCCCAGAAGATATTTTTGTATGGACTGTGAGCTAAGAATAGTTTTACAGATGAATATTTACAACTGATTTGAAAATTAAGAACACTAACTTGTAACCTCAGTTAAGCAAAATGTTATTCTCACAAAAAAGGAATTCCAGTTTTCTCATTGGTAGATGAGAAAATAAATTCGTACTCAATTATTATATTTTAATTTCATTGCCAAAATATTATAGAAATGTGTTTTCTCTCTTGTTATATATATATGCCAACATAATATCTATATAATATTAATCCACAGTATGGTGGTGTCTCTCAGTCGACAAAAACATTTACCAATCTCTGCTGTAAAAGAAGACTTGTAAGAAGCCTATTTTTAAGGCAAAAAATAAATAATTGAAGGCAACTTTTCTGCATAGGATTTATTTTCCAAATTAGCTTCTTCCCATTACCATTCACTTTTGCACCCTGCTATACTCCCTCTCCATGCCGTGATTAGTACATTCGCTAATAAAATAAAAGGATGAATGTCTCTAAAAATTAGGGGACAACAGTTAGCTATTTCATTTTCTAGGAGGAATGGAACAGAATGGAGAACACAAATAATATTTCTAATACTCCTTTCTAATCAACAGCCTTCTCTTGGGCTACCAGATTTCCTGGTAACTTTCCACAAAAATAAATATACCATATACCATTTATAAGCATGTGTGCAAATGGCAGCATTTCAACCTTTATGTGAAACAAATAACTGTTTTCTGCTGGAACATTATTTCCTCGGTCAGCATCGACATGGTTAATGATCCAGATACCTTGTAATGTCAGCAGATCTTTTTTCAGAAATTACTTTGAAGGCGTTGGAACGCAGCCTTCGGTTCATGAACAATAAAAGGCAACAAGAGAAATAAATCAGGATTCTCAAACCCCTCCCGTTTAATAGTGGAATAAAAGTAAGGAGGCAAGGGGGTGCTCTCCCATCCCACGCACCCACAGCTGACATTGCACCACATTTTAGTTCTTCTGATCACAATCTGAATTTTCTTTCTATCACTTATATCAACTGAAATTTAATTAAAATTTAGTTTAAAGGAAAGAGGCAAAAAGGTATATATTTGCATTTGAATTTTCAGTTTCTCCAAATATCTTTCCTCTAATAAATAAGCATTTTTAAAAGTATCATTCATCTAGATATAATTTAAGGCTAGAACACATACTTTTATTTTTAAAAGATCTAAACTTCTTTCAGGATGTCTCGTGAACCAAAAACTGCAGATACTTCTTTACCTACATGTTTCTCTATCGCTGCGAAATTAACCCAAGTGAGTGCTGTGCTTGTAGTAGGTCCTGAATAAATGTTCTTCTGTTAATGAATGAATATGCTCTACGAGATTCCTTTTTTAACAGCCAGGTGACTCATCTTATGCTGGAGAAGTAGCCGTTAGGTATTTTTTTAGTAATAAATACTAACATCCCATTCCTTTTTCATCAAGCTAATGTTCCAGCATATTCCTTCCTTCTGCTTCGTTTTTAAATATGTGGATTTTTGGCTGCCTATATCAGTTTTCTATCGTTGCATAACAAATTACCACACATTTAAGCAGCTTAAAACAACACACATTTATTATCTCACAGTTTCTGTAGGTCAGAAATCCAACACAGCATGACTGGATTCTCAGCTCAGGACTTCACAGGGCTGAAATCAGAATGCTGGCTGCGTGGTGGTTTTCTTCCAGGGCTCAGAGTCCTCTTCCAAGAGAATGGCTCTTGGCAGAATTCATTTTTTGTAGCTGAAGGATTGAGGTCTCCATTTCTTGCTAACGGTCAGGTGAATACTCTGAGTTTCTATAGGCCACCTGCATTCCT